GCGGGCTCGGCGCTCGGGGGGTTCCGGCGCGCAGCGCTCGGTGGGGGTGCGGCGTGGGCGCGGCGCTGGAGGGGGGTTCCGGCGGCGCTCGGCAGGGGGCGGGGGCAGACTCCGGCGGTGCTGGGGGGGGGGGAGGGCGGCGCAGGGCTCGGCGCTCGGCGCAGGGGGAGGGCGGGCTCCGGTGCTTAGCGGGGGGGGCTCGGGGGCGGCGTCTTTTTTTTGCTGCTTGGGGCAGCAAAAAAGCTAGAGCCGCCCCTGTCAGAAGCTAATCTGGATTTAGAATCCATAAATTACATGATTGTATCTAAAATGATTGTGAGTGCTATGACAAGGGTTCTGAAGAAGAGTAAACGGACTTTTGAGAAAAGCAGATTGAGGATATACAAAACAGGTTTTGAAAAGTAATTTGACTTTATCAGAAAAAAAATAGTGCAGAATAAAATAGCAAGTTGCTGTGCTCATATACCACATTTCCCATTTTAAAGAAAAAATGAAATGCTCTATAAAGAATAATGATGTAATAAGTAAAAAAATGTTCAAGAGAAATATACAATTATAAAAACATAGGATCTCTGCTGCTAAAGTTGATAGGGGTTAAATGAAAGGTAAATACAGGAGAACCTTGCTAATTTTCAACTTGATCATCATAGGCCTGATCCGACTAACCAAGAGCCATTGGGTTTCACCTGACTCCTTAGCAAAGATTTAACAGTACAGTGCTCTAGAGAGGCAAAAGCTTCACTATGTTTGCAAAATTACTAGGATAATTTTGGTAATATACTAAGTAGAATCAAATTATTAAAACTAAACTACTGTTGTCAAAAACAAAATTAAGAAAGTACACTCTGATGCAGAACTCTCCATTTTCATTGTGTTTGTTAATTTAGTAACTTGAAAAAATTCCTTAGGCTGCAATGGGTCTCCCCAGTCAGTTTAATTAGCAAGCATTTACTGTACAAGAATAATGAGCACCACAAATAGAAGAGAGTTTTCCAAGACATGCACGCACAGTTTGGGCAGGGGAAAGCAGACAACAGTCAAGGTTTCCTTGAGACAAATAGATGGCAAGAAACACACACTTCGGTTACTCATTTTCCAATATACAGACATAGATTTTATTTCCACCATTAGATAAAGTTTTAAATTTATTATGGAAACATTTAGTACAAGTGAAAAGCTTTTGCGAACAGGGGCTGCTAACAGGGAGTTTCGCAAGGGAGTTTGGAAGAGGAGCGGGAAGGGGGCGAGGGTCCCTTGCCGGTTCTATCTGTTTTTCCCTTTATTCCCCTTAAAACCTATAAACCCACTACATTTAAAACTTCTTGCTTAAAGAACCCTTTCAGCAGACAGCGGGCTGCAGACAGGGGAGTTTGAGAGGGAGTTTGACAGAGGGAGAATTACGATGGTTAGGAAAACCTGCAACACCTGTGCCAGCAATGCTTCTGTCTACTCCACCTGCGCCTGTAGCCAGACAGAGCGCCTGAGCATGGATGCTTCTATCCAGATCCTGGTGTGGTTTTGCAGAGACTAATTTCCACTTACTGATATCCAGGCTGGGGGGACAATCCAATGTGAAAGGTGCCTGCTGGTGGAATCTCTCAGGCAGCAGGTGGGAGAACTACAGGAGGAGGTGGCTAGGTTGAGGAGCATCCGAATCCACGAGCAATTCCTGGACAGCGTCCATGTGGAGACAGCTGAGGTAGCTGTCCCAGTACACAGGACTGCTGATACACCACTGGTGGAGGAGGAGATGGCTCAGTGTGGACACTAGCAGCTGGTTACTTCTGGCAGCAGGCAGTGCTCCACCCGTGCTCTGAACCCTCCCGCCGTGGTAATATGTAACCGTTATGCTCTTCTTGATATAGGAGAGAAGGAACATCCCCCTACAGTAAAGGAGGAGAAGCCTCGTACCCCTAAGGCTGGGAGCTCTGCTGCCACCACTGCGAATAAGAAACGTAGGGTAGTGGTGGTCGGAGATTCTCTGCTGAGAGGGATGGAGGCACCCATCTGTTGCCCTGACATTTCATCTCGGGAGGTATGCTGCCTGCCGGGAGCCCATATCCGAAATATTATGGAGGCATCGTCGAGGATTATCCCGCCCTCTGACTACTACCCCATGCTACTCATCCATGTGGGCACAAATGATACTGCGAGGTGTGACACTGAGCGGATCAAGAGTGACTACAGGACTCTGGGAGTACGGGTGAAGGAGTTTGGCGCGCAGGTGGTATTCTCTTCAATTCTTTCTGTCACAGGAAGGGGCCCAGGCAGAGACAGATGCATCATGGAGGTGAATGCCTGGCTGCAGAGATGGTGTCGCCAGGAGGGCTTTGGCTTCCTCGACCACGGGATGCTATTCGAGGAAGGACTGCTAGGCAGAGATGGCGTTCACCTTTCGAGGAGGGGAAAGGCCTTATTTGGACACAGACTGGCTAACCTAGTGAGGAGAGCTTTAAACTAGGTTCGATGGGGATAGGTGAGCAAAGCCCACAGGTAAGTGGGGAACATGGAGACCTGGGAGATGGGTCGGAAACAAGAGGGAGCGTGGGCTATATTGGCAGAGAGAAAGGAGGGTCAGGACAAAACTGGGAGGCAAGATCAAACCAGTATCTTAGATGCCTATATACAAATGCGAGAAATATGGGTAATAAGCAGGAAGAACTGGAAGTGCTAATAAATAAACACAACCATGACATTGTTGGCATCACTGAAACTTGGTGGGATAATACACATGATTGAAATGTTGGTGTGGAGGGGTACAGGTTGCTCAGGAAGGACAGACAGGGGAAAAAGGGAGGAGGTGTTGCCTTGTACATTAAAAATGTACACACTTAGACTGAGGTAGAGATGGACATAGGAGACGAAAGTGTTGAGAGTCTCTGGGTTAGGCTAAAAGGGGTAAAAAACAAGGGTGATGTCATGCTAGGCATCTACTACAGGCCACCTAACCAGGTGGAAGAGGTGGATGAGGCTTTTTTTAAACAACTAACAAAATCATCCAAAGCCCAAGATTTGGTAGTGATGGGGGACTTCAACTATCCAAATATATGTTGGGAAAATAACACAGCGGGGCACAGACTATCCAACAAATTCTTGGACTGCATTGAGGACAACTTTTTATTTCAGAAGGTTGAAAAAGCTACTAGGGGGGAAGCTGTTCTAGACTTGATTTTAACAAATAGGGAGGAACTCGTTGAGAATTTGAAAGTAGAAGGCAGCTTGGGTGAAAATGATCATGAAATCATAGGAGTTTGCAATTCTAAGGAAGGGTAGAAGGGAGAATAGCAAAATAGAGACAATGGATTTCAGGAAGGCAGATTTTGGTAAGCTCAGAGAGCTGATAGGTAATGTCCCATGGGAATCAAGACTGAGGGGAAAACCAACTGAGGAGAGTTGGCAGTTTTTCAAAGGGACACTATTAAGGGTCCAAAAGCAAGCTATTCCACTGGTTAGGAAAGATAGAAAATGTGACAAAAGACCGCCTTGGCTTAACCACGAGATCTTGCATGATCTAAAAAATAAAAAGGAGTCATATAAAAAATGGAAACTAGGACAGATTACAAAGGATGAATATAGGCAAACAACACAGGAATGCAGCAACAAGATTAGAAAGGCAAAGGCACAAAATGAGCTCAAACTAGCTACAGGAATAAAGGGAAACAAGATGACTTTTTATCAATACATTAGAAGCAAGAGGAAGACCAAAGACAGGGTAGGCCCACTGCTCAGTGAAGAGGGAGAAACAGTAACAGGAAACTTGGAAATGGCAGAGATGCTTAATGACTTCTTTGTTTTGGTCTTCACCGAGAAGTCTGAAGGAATGCCTAACATAGTGAATGCTAATGGGAAGGGGGTAGGTTTAGTAGATAAAATAAAAAAATAACAAGTTAAAAATCACTTAGAAAA